CTTTGACTTTGGTACCCGTATGTTTCGATGCCACTTCCTCCGCATCTCTGCCCAGCTGCTGCTCGGCGAAGAGAGTCGCGAATACTGACTGAACGGTCTGGGACTGACTTCTCCCCTCCATAAACTTCTCCAGAGCAAACTGGTAAAGCATCTTCAAGTCGCTGGCCGGACCCATGACCATCTTGGAGTGAATGAACTTCGCCGGGGTGTCTGATATGCGTCGACCGTTCCCGCTTCCGTATGTATTGTCCGAGAGTATCGATTGAGGCACGTACTTGCATGCCATGTCGTCGTTCTCACAGATTTTCTCTGCGCCGAACACGATCGTCTGGTTGAACTTCTGGAAGCCCTGCTTGTTGACGCCATACTTCTTCAGCAGCCGCATGTTGGCGTCTGCCAACAGCCTCTTGTACTGCGTGACAATCACATCGCTTGGCAGCTGGAACATCGACTGTTGTCCGTCCACGATGAGAACCAAGTCATGGCCCTTCACCAGCTTCTCATTGCTCAGGTAATGCAGCGTGCTGTTCAGTGTATCCCTGTCCCACTTGACGTCCGACTCATATGGCTTGTGTAGCTGTACCGCAGTCGGCGGAGGGTAGTGAAGAAGCATAGCAGACAGAGTCGTCTTGCAAAAACCATCTGTATCGCGCTCGGCAGGCATGAGGAGGTGGAAGTTGGGCGTCGTCTTCTTGAGTTTCGGCGGTACGTGGTCGAGTTCGCCATTCTCGATCTGCAGCGTCGTGTTCGAGGGGGTCTTGAACGGCGAGTGTACGATGTCGGGCAGGGGCTGGAGATACGGTCGCCATGGGTAGTACGAGGAGAAGTTGTGGTATCGTGAAGATATGGCCTGTTGGAGTTAGCTTGGACCTCGCTGATGACGTCCAGTTCTGGAGGGGTATGCCGCATATCTCGACGTCGTCTTCTCTGGTGTCTGTAACAGTTTAAACGTACCTCATGATTCCTCATACCCGTCAGTCCAAGCAGAACTGTGAGAAGTGCAATCGTCAAGACCATCATCCGCCCTCTTCGCGTACATGCCCATTGCACGGCGGCACTTCCAAACTCTTTGGGCGACTGTGTCGGAGACATTGGCAATGCCAGCATTGCATCGCCTGCCATGGTGGGTGTGGAAAGGAAAGAGCGATTCGACGACCTGTGACTCCCTCGCTGGAAGCGGAAGTTGTCATACTTGGTCGACGGCCAGGTGGGACGCGCTTTCTGTATCCCCTCTGTGTACCTTCCGTCTGGTGTCCCTGCGTCCCAAACGCCAGGGTCTCAACACGGATAGTCGTCGTCACACGTCACGGTCCGATCAAGAACGCGCGTAATCTCCACTGAGTTGCAGTTCTCTGTTTCGAAACAATGCCGCTGCCATTCCGCACGCGCGCGCAACAGGTATATCCACAACTGTGCGAAACATGTTGGAAACGGCTTGTGTGTAGCCCTTACATTTCTTAGAGGGATGTTGAGTTCAAGAGAAAGTCAGCCATGGACACGATGATAGGCGTACCCCTGTCTGTCGCGTCGCGTCGCTAATCTCAACGCGGGCTAGAGGCGGAGCCGCTTCGGCAGTCTTTGCTTTGCAGATCCGATGGATCATCAGGAACACTCGTCATAATTGCCGCTGCACATGGCTGTTCGCATGTGAACTACGTGGGGATCCGCTTATGATTGCTGTAGCTTGGGCAATATCTCCAACAATCATCTGAAGAGATTTCAGGAGCTGCAAATCGATGCACCTACGATCTTCCAAAGGCTAAATCGGGCAGCTTACAGCTAGCTTCTTTTGATTTTCGAGGCTGACAGCAGAGAAATTGTGTGCTGATCTGATCATCCGTACAACCTTTGTGGAGAGTCGTACGACAACTGTGTCGCAATGGCTTGCGCTGTGATGGCAGTCGGTCAGACTCTTCATATACGCAGCAGCCAGTAAGGGTTTGTAGCATGAACCGTCAAGCTCCACCCCCTAGAATCCAGCGATATACCGATGCTTATCCGTAACCTCAGTAACCTCGAACTTCATGCCAACCCTAAGATCCCCCACCGACTTCGGCACAGCAAGCATACCATAGCAGGGCTTGTATGTAATCCCCTCGTCGATCCTCCGGTACTTCATCAGCGTGTCCCAAGGCTGCGTCTTGTGCTTCTCCGCCGAATCAGGATGTACATTGGGCACCTGACAGCGCGCGCATCGCTGGGTGATATCCAGAACGATTGGCTTGTCACCAGCATTAGGCGTAATCTTGATGGCCTTCCAGCGATCTTCGTCCCAGGGCGCGTTGGCATCGCCCTTGACGAGGATGTTGGGTCGGAAGCGGCGGACGTCAATGGTAAGGTCTTCTGCGGCTTTGAGACGCGTGTTGAGCTCGTCGATGCTGGATTGGTTGCCGACTAGCACGGGCATCAGGTCGGGGAAACAGGTCGATGCATCTCTTCCTAGGACGCCTGGTGCACCGTTCGATACTAGAGGTCTGGGGTCTTCGGAGACAGGGGGCTTGTACACGAGCCGTACTTCTTTATCGAAGAAACTGTTGAAGGGAGCAGTCATCTTCGTAGAGTACACGCGGGTTCCCGTTGTAGTACTCCAGATCTTTGCCGAGTGCTCTTCGGTATTGTCGTCGAGCCATTCCTTAGATGGGTGAGCCGGGATTGAAAACTCCAACTTCTCATCGACCGAGTTTGGCGCTGGTGCAGTAACGGTAAGGGTATCAGTCTTTTCGTCGTAGGTTGGTCGGATCAGTGTCATCTTGGAGTTTTGGCGGATCGTCAGGAACTCGTAGGTTGGGTAGCTCACCCACATCCATTGACGATCTGGCTCTGTCAGCATATTACATCTCTCCGATCTGATAATAAAGGCGCACCGAGGTCAAGGCCGGTTGGCAAGAGCTTTGCCGACTTTACGCTGATGCCGTGGCATGACTTGATGGGGTGTATGAAGAGCCCTGTGATCTCTGTCGCTGCTGGTAAAGGCCCAGCATTACTCTTTGCTTGCTGATTCTTGGTGAAATAGATGTATGTGAGAATGGGTAAGACGAAAATCGATAGTAGGATCGCGACCTGCGTAGTGGCTGTGAGTGCCATGTTGCTGGCTGTGTTACCGAACAGTCAAGATTATACGGCTTGCGCAGAAACTCAGCAAGGTAGGTAAACTGCAAGTGTTCCTCCCCAACGAGTTCTTTTTCTGCCGTGTACTAGTCACACAGCTCTCTTCTTGTGTCATGTACTAATGCAAATATAGCTGTAGGGCGTGGTCTGACAAATTTAGAATCAGTGCATCGGTCCAGAGCAATGCCAGAACAGATGTCTTGCCTAATCGAGTGATGCAGAGCGGAGTATATAGCTACACTTGACACTTGACGACAATGACGCATTGAGCGGGGAAGGCGTCCGCAACGTAATAGGCTAGCGCTGCCGAAACCTCGCGTGTGCGGCGTCTCCGCGGCAGTCATGCATCGCGAGAACGCGACCGCGACATCCAAACATGCGACCTCCTACAAACTCTCAGACCGCATCCTCTTGCGCGTCCTACAATCACCACCATCATCAGACTCCTCCTCCTCCCCCTCCCGCACCCCATTCAACCTCTCAATCTCCCCCTCCAACTCAACACAATACCCATCCAAATCCTGCGCCTGCTTCACCTTCCCCTCCAACTCCCTCACGCGCTGCTGTAGCCTAATATTCCCCTCCATACGCAGCATGCATTCCCTCTCCGCAGCATCAGCCCGTTGCTTCTCCTTCTCGACTTCGTACTCCGCGTCTTCCAAAGCTCGTCGCCGCAACTTCTCCGTTGTCTCGTATTCTTTGAGGTCGGATTGGCAGCTGAGGAGTTGAGAGTCTTTGTCGAAGAGGGTGCCGCGGAGTCTGGCGGCTTCGCGGCGGGTGTCGGTGCAGGTTTTGTTGGTGCAGCGGGAGGGGGGTTGGGTGCGGGTGGCTGGTGTTGGGGATTCGGGCTCTGATGGTTGGCTTTGAGGATGGGGTGTGGAGCAGTCGATTGCGCTGTCGGGCATGTCTTGCTCCCATTCCTCGCGCTCGCGCACGCGTGGTGTAGATGGCATAGGTGTAGTACTCGCCATGTAGCTCCGATACTCCGCCCCGGACATACCGACCTTCTCTTTCGGCTCGTCGAATCGGTCGTAGTTGTATGGGTATCGCTGATACAAGGGACCATTTACGGAGGCGGCGATGGCTCGCTCTTGCGGCGTGTACATGTTCTCGTATCGCTTCATCGCTTCTCGTTGGTAGGCTACGCCTGTAGGTAGATCCGGATATCCTTGGTACGGGCGAAGCTTCTCAATTGTTGACAGGGTGACGTAGGGCCAGGTCTTTGGATCTTCCTTCTCGTAGGTAGGGATGGCGCGCTTGATGCTCGCATATAACCTTGATGAGACGAAGCTGAAGGTGCCCTCATAGCGCGGTAGAGGTGCCATCTTCGAGTCGAGATCGTGTTAGCCATTTTTGCTGCGTCGACGGCCATGCTTGACCTACCTTGAGAGTCTCTGACGCGAAACGAGGAGTGGAATGCTGCTGCTGTCGGTTGGAAGAAGCAGGAGAGATTTTGCTAGCTGCAGGAGGCACTCGTCGTGATCAAATCCCCGCCCTTTCGGTTAGTCTGGAAGATTCGCGGTGAGAGGTCGAGCGTTCCTCGCTCACCTTCACCATGAGCCATCTTCACCTTCGGTTTCCATGGAACCTTAGAATGTTTCTCGTATTGAACGCAAGATCGTTAAATCTATTGAGATAAGAGCATTGGATTGGGGTATGGAGCTGACAGATGCCACACTACCAACAAGTCCCACGGACCAGGTAGGGGCAGCGATAAAGTATCCCAAGCACGATGTTTCCAAGCTAAATCCATATGACGCAATCGTATATTTGGTGGTCCGGTGACCCTACTCCCAAATGTCTCGTTGCTCAACTTTTGTTTCCGGAAAGACCAGTATACGCCGGTACCACGATCAAACGCACGCACAGCCGTCATGTTGCGACCGCAGTTCTTAAACCTCGACCTTTGGCTTCTTCCGCGGTGGATCTGCGATATCGCCCTCCGCTTTCTTCTTTTGCAAACCTGTGCCCTGTTTTTTCTTCTTCATCTCTTCCAAAATCTTGAAAATTTGCTGCTTTTCCACCATCGTTTCCTGCTTCGCCGCCACTGTTTGTTGCTGTGCTGTCACAGTATCTTGGTTGCTCTGTTTGACTTTATCCTTGAGTCTTTTGACCTCTTCTCTACTGTTCTTATGGTTCTCTTCATGTCTAACCAGACTTTCCTCGAGCTCTTTGATCTCTTTGTCGGCAATCTCAGCTCTTGCTCTCGTTTCCTCGTATTTGGATGTTACCGTAGCCAACAATGCCTTTGCATTGCTAAGGTTGGTCTGTTCTTGCAAGAGGAGCTTGCGCGTCTCTTTTTCGTGCTCATCCATCAACTGCGCGACCTTTGAGGCTAATCCATTGAGAGTCGCTTGAAGCAGAGTAGATCTTTTTTCAGCGCTATCAGCTCTGATGTTTGCCACCAAGATCTCCTTCCTGGTCTTGTCGAGCTCTTCTTCCAGCTCAGTCACTCTGGTGGCAGTCGCTGTATCTGTATCGTCGAGCATCTTCATGATCTCATGAATGGCTGTTTTCGATGAGCTGTCTTCTGTGGCGTCTTCGTTGGAAAGCGCGTTCTCGGTGTCTGCCTTCTCATGTGTAGTCGGTACCGGGCGGGTCGTTCTGCTCATCCACTCCTCGAGCTCTTCAGAAGGTATATGCGGATATTTTCGGAGTTCACCGTGACGATCGTAGTTGAAAGGGTAGTAACAGAAGAGTCTCGCGACATTCTTTTGCCCTGTTGTGGTCCTGTTTCGTGCAATCCGGAGAATATCACACTTGTCCATTCTTTCCATGAGCGTCTGGTCGTAGACCATATATTCTGGGATGAACTTGCTGTTTCCGTAGTTGAACCCAGTCTCGGTTGAAGCACTCCTATGTATCAGAGGCCAAGTTCGGGGGTCATGCTTGTCGTACTTTCGAGTGACTAGCTTTACATATTCCCGCATGAACTTCCCGTGCCACGTAAAGTGACCGTTCCAGTTTCCATACGGCTCGATCTTGTCGCTATCCATCTTTGAGAGCTTGGGGTAAATGATGTAGAAAACAGTTGTTGGACTTCGCACGAGGTGTAGTGAACGTAGGTGGAGAGTAAACGCACCTCTGGAGGACTACGTGGAGGAACAACATCTTTATACAGGGCCCTGCTATGAGTACAGATAAGTGTCGCCAAATGAGTTAGATTACCGGTTTCCTTCACCTCCACGTCCTGACGAAGACGCGGTGAGATGCCGCAGCTGGCTTCGGACGCCATCGGATACGTCCATCGAAGAACACATTCGCATAGCAAACACAGCAACGATCACCACAGCACACCTATCCCCATATACCCATTACCATCACGCAACCAAACACCGCAGTGAGACACAAAACCCGCGCCACACCCTCGGCCCGACTCGCAGGATGCATTGCATGTGGGGGAGAAGCGCCTGCACGAGGGGGCCAGCCTCACCAACCAGTCAAGCTCGGCAGCGCGCTGCGGCACAGTCACAACAAAAAAGGACCGCCCCCGAAGTCTGACTCAAAATGCAGGTACACACCAAAGAGGGTGCGTCTACAGGGCGGGGGCAGGCGGTAGACAGTATCGGTGACACACATGCAGACGAGGCAATAGCCGTCCGGGGATGCATGGTGCATGGTGCAGTGTGCATATGCAGGAACGGGAGTTTGCAGGTAATGTGTGTAACGTGAGTGACGACAGTGCATGGAGTGCCAACGTCGATGGCGATGGCGATGTCAACGTTCACGGTAACGTCAATGTCACGGCGAGGAATGCGGGGAATGCAATGACACACATTTCTAACGAGAGATTTCAATTTGATTACCGTAGTATATACCCAAGGCCCCAACCATGAACCATAGTACCACAGACCCAGTGAGGCCGAACCCATGCCCACACCTTGACTCCAACCCCCAGCAAAAACACCCTATGCCTAAACGCCCGCCAAAATCTACCTATAATGCAAGAGACAAGACAAGACAAGACAAGTCGCCATCATAAGATGAGGGTATAGAAGTAAAAAAGAAACACCCATGCCGTGAGTGAGTACATGTTCGGCCATCGCCCATACGAACAGTCTTGTGTTCTGCGTTGGAAACGCTGATACATGAGGGGCGACAAGCATATAGCGTGTGCGAAGACAGTCGTGATGGTGCCAGACATGTGAATGAAAGAGTGAAAATTGCAGATGCTGTGAACATAGTGAAGATGATGGTAGTGCGTGCATGTTGCTAGGACACTCAAAGGAAGATTAGAGTGTCGGTAGCTCAGCCGCTGGGAACCGTGAAAGCAATGGCAATGGGATGAAGGAGTGACGTGATGCGACGGTGGTCGCGATGCTGGGCGCAGTGACGCTATGGTGGAACTAAGCCTTTGCTGAAGTCTTCTTGACGGAACCCTTGTTGGAGACGCGGGTAGGTGTCTTGGGCGACTTGGCGGGCGACTTGGGTGATTTGGGCGACTTTGGTGTGCGGGCTTTGGCTGGAGTCTTCTTGGGCGAAGGTGTCTTGCCGGGGAGCTTGGGGAGGAACTCGATGGACGGGACTTGTTCGGTCTCCTTCTCCTCGAGCATCTGGAGGATGACGTCGACGATCTTCTTGACTTCTGCGTAGGTCTTGTTGAAGCCGAGCCACTGGTCTAGCTCGCGGAGGACGTCGATGGGCGCCTCGAAGTGCTTGCCGATCTTGGGGTGGACACTCTTCTCGGCTTGGTCGTTTTTGGCTCCGGCGGCGACTTGACGGGAGTAGTGGTTTAGACGCGCTTCCTCGGACTTCTTGAAGGCGATGTCATAGGTGGTGCCTGGGAACTGCTTCTCGATTACCTCGAACTGGCGGAGGATGAGCTGCACTTTGCGGATCTGCCACTTGGTCTTGTTGTAGGTCGCGCGCTGGTAGTGCTTGCGGCAGAAGAGAGGCCAGTCGGTGACGTCGCGGGTACACGCCTTGTTGCGGCCAAAGTGGTCGGAGATGACCTTGCGCGACAGGTCTTTGGTGTACTGGCCAGTCATGCAGCGAGTGTGCTCGTCGTTCATGCAGAGGAACTCGCGCTGTGAATCGGGTACGTCTTCGCCGTCGTCGAGAGACTCATCACCAGAGGCGTCGGGCTCGGCCTTTACTCAGTTGATACTCGGTCAGTTCATGGATTCAATGGTGAAGTGGTGACTCCGCACATTGCGCGAGATGCGTGCGGATGGGGGGCTTTGCACTTACGAGGTCGGTCATGACGGTGTCAGGAGTCTTGACAGTGGGCGATGAAGGCTCTTCCTTGGTCGACTTGGGAGTGGAAGGTGGTGCAATTATGAGCGCCGAGGTGATGTCAGGAGAATCACTCGGGTCCGCGATGATGTTCTTGACAGACATCGCGCTGCGAATGGTGTCGGCCTGAGTGACCTCAGGCGTAAAGGAAGCGCCAGCGGCGGTGTCGGGGGTCTTGATCATATAGTCGGTGGACATGTTGACTGAGTCCGTGGGTAGATATATTACTAGTAGAGGGACGACTGTTGAAGGTCGGTCGGCTGCACTGCTGTTGACGAGAGTTCAGTCTGTTGTTAAGAAAGTCTCGAGGGAGGTGAGCGGAGGCGGGTTATAAGTGGGAGAAAGGGTGGGAGGCGGCGGTGCAATCGCGGCAGGCCGATGGGAAGTGAAGGTGACTCTCAAGTGACCAATTTTTACTGTTTGAACAGACCGCCTGAGCAACCCGCCGTCACCTCAGGACGGACTCAACCACGTCCCTGACTATTGTCCGTGATTCACATGTGCCGTCGTACAATGCAACGCACTGCGGCCCGAGACCGCTCGACCGCTTGAGCCCCGCTGAACTGCCATCTGCCTGGTAACCTGGGCCAATGATGAGCCCGTGAGACTCGCGATACACGTCCCTGCCAAGACAATCGTTTGTTCAAGCCCTGGCCAGCCTTTTCTTCGAGCCGCGTATGACGCCTCGATATCGCGACCCGTGTGAGTCCAACACTTGAAGATATTAATCATGGAATGGTCGGGAAGATGAAACAATCGCCGCAATCGCCAACCCGAGTGGCAACTAGGCAATATTGAAGCTGTGCCGCTACTGAAGGATGATTTACACTCAGAGTAGGCCCGCGGAATGTTGTTACGGTACCCACATTGACAGAATACGAACCAGACAAACCTTCGAGTAGGGTTGAATGAAGTGAGAGAGTGAGAGGAATGGAGTCACGCATACGGTGATTGAAGCCTAGGAATGAAGTCTCCAGACGTGACATGGAAGTTCGAATACGATTGAGTCAAACGAATCCTCCACGCATCTATGACGGCCCCCAAGTGACTGTTAACCGACCCAACCGCGATGGTGTACGTCTAAGAGCTCAGAGTCGACAATCAGGGCTCGTGCCAACAGTTCGCCAGCCCGACCCTTGTGAAGAGACTTACTTGCCGAAGGGTAGATGTAAACGAGCATCTACGGCGTGGCATGAGTTGGTTCCCGTTCCCGTTCTAGTTCCATGTTGTCTAGGTTTTGATAAGTTTAGTGCCTTCCAAGGTTCCGAGGTCGTAACCGCGCAGCGCTTGTGTCGAGAACTGTTGATCAAACACTTATGCGATCCAGCCAATCTAGAATGCGCAAATCTGATGTGCCTGGCGAGATACCGTATACGTCTGAGGCTTAAGGCCGGCAATGCTCCTCCACTACGATCTCCGGACCGAACCCAATTGACTACGCCGCGAAGGATTCCAAGCTGCTATAGGTCGCATTCCGACGGCGGCTATGGGAAGTTACTCAATTGGTGGATACTCCTAAATATAGTGGAAATAGTACTAGTTCTTTTGCACTCTTTGGACTTGTGCCTTTGGAGAAATACGGGGCGAACCGCGGATCGGGGCCAAAAGCGTGCATGAGGCTGAGTCTCTGTGTTACTATTCGACATTTATCTCCGGGACTTGGAACTTCGAAACAATTATCCAAAGTAACACGACTGCGTATGTCCCGTTGCATACCTCAGCGATGCCGATGCGATCTGAACCGACATGGGACGGACGGTTACGAAAGGGATTTCCACGTAGAGGATAGCGGACCATGTCACGCGTACGACTGCGGCAAGTACCAACACGGCCGGCGCGTAGAGTAAAGTAACGATGAAAGAAACTTTGTTGTGGGTGTCTTATCTGGTCAGTACCGAGAGCATGGTAGCTCCGTGTACCCCGTATGGTTGGGGAAGGGGAGACGGATAAACTCGAGGGTGGTGATGGTGGGAGGGAAATGGCTTGGAGATGGCTTATGTCACTATCGGGCAAATCACGTGCGCATCATTCCGTCAACAGACAGCGCCTAGCGTCTTTCGCGCTTGTAGCGTCAAGTGGTAGTGAGGAGCTCCTGTTCTGCGCATCGTCACGCTGCACGGCACCCACAGGCAAATCGCGGGACACGCCAGCAAACTACTGTTTATCGCTTGAGATGCGCCCACACGTCATTCCTACCACGCAACTTCTTTCTACACACTGCATCCTGAGCTGAGCGCGTCCGCGGCCACTTTCCTCGCCCTGCAACCCACGAAGCGCCCTCACAGCCACCATGCCGCCGACCACAGGCACTCGAACGTCTACAAGACAGGGGCGGGCCACGGTCCGACCTACCAACTACTATGCGCGCACCTTCGCCGGCCGCCTCGCCGCCAGCGGGATGGAGCAGACGCCCGAGGCTTCCAACAGCGCGCCCGGCTTCCTGCCCGCCCTCACACACTTTACCGGCGCCGTCGACGCATTCCCCAAGGAGATAATCAAGCACTTCTCCATGTTCAAGGAAGTCGAAGCCAAACTCCACGACCCAGAGCAGATGCTCACGGAGCTGCTTGACGAAATCGCCCAGCAGCCCGTCACCACCAAGGCGCAGCTGGCGGCTGTAGAACAGGCCTCTACAGCATCCGAAAACAATACCAATGTACGTTCTTGTTTGAGCGCACGCCAGTACCCTAGGCTCACCATTCGCAGCTCAACCCATCCAACCCCGACAGCCTCTCACCCGAAGAGCAGGCAGCGATCCAGAAGCGCCAGCTCTTCTTTCGCCTCAGAATGCTCATCGCGAACATGCTTCCCACGCTCGACGAGAAGCTGGTAGTCCTCCAGGGCGCCAAAGCCACCAAAGACAAGGGCCTCATGCGCATGCACCACTCCTTCTCCCAGCTCGACGGCGAAATCAGCGACGAAGCGCGATACGGCAGCCTCACACACTGGGCATACGCGGACAAGGAGGAGAAGAAAAAGGGCGGCCAAAACCACGAGCGACAACGGCGCGAGGTGGCTGCGGCGAACAATCTGGCCGCGGCAGCCCAGCATGTGCATGACGTCGACTCAATCGCGGCGAAGAGCGAGGCCAGACGCGAAGCCATGCAGGCCAACAAGCGCAGTCGTCATCACCAGGTCGATTCCGACTTCGACGACCGACCCGCCAAGAAGCCACAGAAGAGGAAGCCCATGCCCGCAGAGCCAGCAGGGCCAGACAGCAGGAACCTCGGGTTGGGCATCTCGAGCAATGGCGCAGGTCCGCACGGCAAGCGAAAGAAGACCGAAAAGGCCCTCGCTGCAGCGGCACCTGCTGCCCCGGCCATGGAGCGATCAATAAGCAATGCTCTGAAAGCTACCAGCAACGGCGTACGAGGTGGCTCAAGCCCACGGGGTACCCCAGGTCCAGAGAGCGCCGCAGCGAAGCGCAAACCGCGTGCCGCTCCCGTGCCTGCGCAACGCAAGAACCCGCTTCCGCCGTATTCGCCCCCAATGGCATCGTCACCCCTGGCCGCCAATTTTGCCATCAACAAAGCAATTGCCGGTGCATCGGATCGACCGCTGTCTGCACGTGCGCGGAAGAACTCCACAGCCAACTCGGTGGCGTCGCTCAAAGACCAAGAGGCTCCTGCGGCACGGCGCCCCTCCTCTTCTCATTCCGTACAACAAGCCGCTAGCAGCAATGTCATTACAGAGCTTGAGCAGGCTGCTGGGATCGTGCGGGACAATACCTCGGTAAAGGGCGCATCGACTCCCAAGGAGAGCGCAGAGGTCCCGCCGCCCTTTGACACATCCAACATGAAGTTGGAAGATTTGGGACAGCCTGAGCCAGAGAGTATGGACGTTGATCCTCCCGTGCCGGCAGCAGCCTCTGCAAGGCCCGGTCGCACCTCAAAGACTGCGACACCTGTCATTGGCGCGTTCCCAGAGATATCAATGGCGAGAAGTCGCAGCAGTCGCAACGCGAACAATGGCAACTCCAACTCCAACACATCATCCGAGAACAACAGCACGACAGGCACCGGGTCGAAACGAGGCCACAAGAAGAACACGCAACCGACTACTGCCACTGCCTCCCCCGCCATGAAACCCGTTCCCAACGTGAAATCGAACCCTCCGTCCTCCGCCGCAAGCTCCGTCGCACAAGAACAAGAATACCAAGAAGCCGAGGTAGAAGCCGAGCCCGAATCGGAAGCGGAAGAAGACGGCGACGAGCCCCGATACTGCTACTGCAACGAAGTGTCGTATGGCAACATGATTGCCTGCGACAACGACGACTGTCCCCGCGAGTGGTTCCATCTTGCTTGCGTCAACCTTGACAAACCGCCCACTGGCCGGACCAAATGGTTCTGCAGTGACGAGTGCAAGGAGACACACACCAAGACCAAGGCCAAGGGGGGTCGTCCGGGCAGTAGTAGGCAATAGGAATTAGGAAGGAGTTCAAGGCGTTCTGGGACGGGTCCAGCGGGAGCTGGGTCTAGGCAAGGCCCGAAGGGTAAGGGCAAGGCTAGGTTAAATCTCTGGGATGGTTGGAATGCTTTGTAGAGGGAGCTTCCAACCGCGGTTTGCATTTCTTTGGATTCTTGTGTGGGTTTCGCGGCGTTGTCCCTCTGGGCTTGGGTAAAGGGCGCATCTTCTCTCTTATGATCATGATTTCTGGACCGGTGATATCCGCTTTGGAGGGCACTGGCGTTTTGCATCGTCCAGACATGGCATCGAGAAGCACAGCCCTTGCTTTCACTGGCTACATTATTGTATATGAGGCATTACCTTTGCTCTATCTATTAGAGCAAGTAGTTCAATAGAAAGTACCTACATGCATTCACAAGTCTTGGTGCAAGGGATCTGGAGTGGCCTGAGCTTCGTGTAGCACCGTTGTTGATGCGCGCCATTCCAGAGGTCCTTCCTGACCCCTCATACATGCCATGCGGCAGCGGTACGGCACCCGTCAGCCTCAAAACTGCCCCTTGCAGATCCACCCACGACTTAGAAAGACGTCATCGTCATTGGTCCACGCGCCCTCGCCATGCAGCTCAGCCTGGACCCTGAAGCGCTAGCTGCGTTCGATGATGCACAGCAGCGTCGGGGCGTGCTCACCGCTCGAACACGCGACAAGGACGCCTTGGATACCATAATCCCCCGACGACTATCTCACGCGTTGGAACACGTATGAAATAGACTCCAACTTCATCATGGCACCTACAGACCACCCTTCAGCGGAAGAACTGCTCATATGCGAGCCCGAAAGCGGCGCGCCAAATGCCCCACCAGACCTCCGTTTCCTACACTACAATGATGTCTACCACGTAGAAGCGGGGTCGAGAGAGCCCGTGGGCGGATACGCTCGATTCCAAACTCTTGTCAACTATTACAGAAACGATGAGAGATTCAAGGACCAACCAAAGCTTCTGACCTTTTTCTCTGGAGATGCGTTCAATCCAAGCATTGAAAGTAGTATCACAAAGGGTGAGTGAGCTGAATCGCCCGAGGGTATGCAAGGAGACTGACGCTAATTCTAGGAAGCCACATGGTTCCTGTGTTGAACAACATTGGCACAGACGTCTCTTGCGTAGGAGTATGTACGTCAATGTCTGTAAACGTTGATTCCAACTAACGACGTCCCAGAACCACGACTTAGACTTTGGCGTCAAGCAGTATCGCTACCTCACAGCCAAATGCAAATTCCCATGGCTCCTCGCAAACGTACACGATCCAGCCCTCGGCGACGGCGTCCCACTCGGAAACGCGAAGAAGACGGTCATGCTCACAGCATCCAACGGCATCAAAGTTGGCGTCATCGGACTTGCAGAACGAGAGTGGCTCGACACAATCAACGCGCTGCCGCCGGACATCATATACAAGAGCGCCTCAGAGACTGCGAAGGAACTTGTGCCTGGCCTGAAGGAGCAGGGCGCAGAGATCATCGTATGCGTGTCGCATCAGCGAGAGCCCAACGACAACAAGCTGGCGAAGCAATGCGGCGGCGGCTTGATTGACATTATTCTCGGCGGCCACGACCACTACTACTCGTACAGCCTGATCAACGGCACCCAAGTACTGCGTTCAGGCACCGACTTCAAACAGCTCTCTCATGTCGAGGCATGGCGGAAGCCTGAAGGCAAAGGATGGGATTTCAAGATCATACGGCGAGACATTGTCAGCAGCATACCACAAGATCCCCAGGCAATGGAACTGGTCGAAGAACAAACGCGGGAAATTAGAAAGCGATTAGACAAGCCGATCGGATACACCGCTGCGCCACTTGACGCCCGGTTCACAACTGTACGGACAAAGGAGTCGAATATCGGCAATTTCGTCTGCGATCTCATGCGCTACTACTACTCAGCAGAGTGCTGTATCATGGCCGCCGGAACGATACGCGGTGACCAGATCTATCCTCCTGGATTGTTGAAGCTCAGAGATCTGGTCAACTGCTTCCCATTCGAAGACCCAGTCGTAGTACTAAAGGTCACCGGCAAGGCGATACGAGAAGCACTGGAGAACGGCGTCAGCAACTACCCAGCCCTCGAAGGAAGATTCCCACAAGTCTCCAACATCACCTTCGAAGCCGACTACTCCAAACCACCACATTCGAGAGTAACAAACGTGACAATCGGAGAAGAGCCTGTAGACGAGACGCGCGAGTACGTTCTTGCTACACGAGGCTACATGGGTCGCGGTAAAGGTACGTCGCCATCTCTCAACAGAGACAGACCACTTACTAACTCCTTCCAGATGGCTACACATCCCTCCTAATCGAAGAAGAAGGCGGCGTCGCCAAAGAAATCGTCTCGGAAGAAAACGGCGTCCTCATCTCCACCATCCTGCGCCAATACTTCATGTCCCTGAAAGTTCTTGGCAAATGGAAACGCTGGGGCAAGTCCATGAACTCGAGATTTGCGTCCATACAAACGAACTTGCAGAAACACGGTCATGCGTTCCACGACCCTTCTCCTACTTCGCCTACCCAATCCCGTGGCAACAATCCCGTTGAAGATCTTGGTGAGAAGAACCAACGCGACGACAACACACACGACACCCTCGGAGAAGAGGACCCAGACCAAGATGAAGATGAAGATGATGGCCCAATGTACGATTCCAGAGTCCCGATACAGTTCACGGATAAGCAGACCGAGATGATAAGGCGTGTGATGCGGAAATGGTGGCGTGTTGCTGGTCTCAAGGGAAACCCTAAGCTGTGCGATGAGCTAGATGGCGCGGAGTTCCAGGTCAACTGGACGAAAGCTATTGCGCCGAGGTTGGAAGGTAGGATAAAGGAAATTGGGCCTGGGGTTAAGATTGAGGCGTGATGATGTTGTGTGTCTAGACAGCTGTGATGGGAAGGATGGTTAGGGTATGGATGTTCACTGCTATGAAGATGATGATGAAGAGAGGAAATGTGTATGATGTTTATGATTCATGATTCATGATTCATGATTCATAAGCCACAGGCTGGGCTGAAATACGATCTCGAGAGTCTGCTTTAGTGCTATCTCCGTATGCTACACACTCTCATAGCCCATAAGTCTCTTCTACTCCTTCGCATACCCCTTGTATGTCCCGTAGTTTCCTCCCGCAGGCGCAGGAACGTTCTTGTAGTCGCCGTAGGTTGCTGGTTTGGGAGCTGGGACGTTCTTGTAGTCGCCGTATCCGCCCACAGGCGCAGGAACGTTCTTATAGTCGCCTTGTTGCGGTGTTAGTATGACGGAGAGAGGCGAGGTAGGAGAAAGGGAGGAGAAGATGGTAGGTGAATGAAAGGGTATAGCATACCGTATGTGCTGTATTTACCCTGGGCAACTGCAGCTGGTGCGGCGAGGGCGCATGCTACGAGAGCGAGGATGGATAGAACGGACTTCATGGTTGATGTTTGGGGTTGAAGAGAGAAAGTTGGTATTAATGAGTAAGAGGCAGAGGATAGGCTTGTATGGGTAGGTAGTAGGAATGGAGTCCTGCTGTGAATACATATGTATAACGAGCATCATCCTTATATATGTATGTACATAGGTCCTTTAATCGCTTATCTGAAGCTAGCTCTTACCTACTCGCATGCCTCCCCCGCGTGTCTTAGCTACATCGTGCGCTGGCCGTCTTCCTGTGTGGCGTGATTCCAGACTAGATCTCGTATGTGCGGCGGGCTGACTATTGAGCTTGATCCGGTCAAAGCCGTGAGTACGGGGGCGTAGTGAGGAGCTGGCGGGATGGCGCTGGGGAAAGAGTGGAGAGTAGTCAAGATCTTGTTGGAACCAAGTCGTCTATGCAAAAGCACATCGTTATTTGTGGAGAGCTGAGAGCGATTTTGGCGTCATACACTTGAGGTCGGTGTGGATGTCAGCTTTAGAACCTTGGTAGTGGACATTCGGTGTCGAAGAAATGTCACTGCAACCCCACAAAGCTTCGACGCTTTGGAATCCGCATCGTGCATTGTAGATTACGCAAGACCCAATGTGGCGCTCGTAATGGTAGCTGGCATTGTGCTATTGATTCTGCTTGTCAACTCTAGTCCCGTATCTATTCTTGTGGGTGGTGCGTCGAGTTCGAAAGCCAGCTATCGAAAATGCGGCACGCGCGCTGCAAGCTGCTCGAAAGAAGCTTAGCGCAGATGATGACCATTATTTCCGACAAGGTATACGAGACAGGTCGTGGTGGTTGTGTGTCCCAGCTCAGCCCTAAAACGCCACCAGCGATCGTGAATGGAGGGGTGCATCGTGTGTCGTATTCAGCTTAGGCGGGGTAAGAGCTAGAAGCTGGCCCCGGGGGAGTGCGACTGACCATCCGCAGTGTTTTGGCCATGGATAATCGTCGCTTTTTTTCGATTTGGCATGCCTCTCGCTTCTGCCTTCACTTTCAATCCCGTGTAGATAATTCCATCTCTTCTTCATTGCCGCCATGTCGAACGTCGAAACTGAGAAAGAACCAAGTTACGAACATGATCGAGAGAATGAGGACTGCGAGAGATTGCTTGCAGATCATGAAGAACCCTCGCTCGATTTGCGGCCATTGCGAAAAATAACGCGGCATTGGTCATGGCTAGCAATCGGTACCGCGTTCCTGGGCACAGCTATACTCTCTGCCTTCCTAGGGGCATGGATAGCTCAGAGGGAACGACTCGATGCAGATGCGTTTTGCATCAGGCACACCTCACAGTATTGTACGGTCGATGGAGCTGCTTATGAGGAATGTCTTGCTAATATTGTTAGCTCCGATCATCAAGGATGTCGGGGTTACCTACAACCAGATCCAGTTCAACGGATCCTTGTTGGTATCAAATGCATATCGACTGGATGCTGGACCTGAAGTAGATGCGGCGTGGAAAGAGTTGGGTGTCGACTGTAAGCTCTCCTGATGTGCAGAGATTCCAGTATTTAACATCCATGACTAGACCATGCCGCGAGAGTACCAAGTGAGGAGGCTGGAAAATCGGGTCTTGCTTCTGATCAAGTAAAAATCAAGGAGGAATACGGAGGTGGATATCCGGCACACGTGGAAGGCTTGCACCATCTGCATTGCTTGGTGGGTTTTGCGAATACTGTGTCAGGAAAGATGTTGACCATGTGTAGAACCTGTTGCGAAAGTCTCTTTCTTGGAATTTCGAGTATTACCAGGAGCAAGGGCTTGGTCCATTCTCCAACGATGCAGACATCCTGAAACACCACGTTAGTAAGTTGGCGTCCTTGCATACATCTGGAGATGTTACTCACATTTGTAGCTCATTGTCTCGACATCTTGCGGCAACAACTCATGTGTACAGTTGACAATGGCGTTCTGGGTCAAGTATGGTATCAGCCTCCGGACAAGCCATTGCAAGCCTTTGTCGGACTTCAATACCGTCCATACGTGTCGGAACTTTGATGCGATCAGGTATTGGGCAGAGAAACACCAGCTGCCGGCAGCGGAAGACACGCCGCCGGATTTTCTTCAATTACCGGAAAAGGGTGATCGGATATATCATGATGTTCCGTAGACTACCAGAATGGTTCAGAGTTATCGAGCGTCGCCCATTCATCTCCTCCATCACTCCAATCTCTCCAAATATCTTTCGCTACGATATCCAGCTGACCGTGGCGAAGCCTGGCAAAATCCACGTCGAAAGGATGCGGCTTGAATGTCTTGCCTTGGCTGCTGGCTCGGTTCATCAAATCGAGCTTGTACATGCGCACTATCCTCGCAGCAGCGCGAACAAATAGCTCTTTCTCCATATCCTTCTCCCATATGTCTTCTGTGAGCATCATCACCATATGCGAGATCTTGGGGAACTCGCGAAGGACGTTTGATAGGCTACCATCTCGAAATCCGTTCAGTATTACTTTGGTGACAGCAACCTTTTGCAGCTGTTCGGGATTGCAGCCCGTCGCACGTCTGAAGTGAGCCAGTAGTCCTACATCGGGCGAGTCGTCATAGTGCTTCACGCGCTTCCCTTCCAGTTGTATCAATAGGATGTCGGTATCGAGACGGAAGTAGAATCCGCCACCACCGGTACCTGGAATGTCCGACGGCAGCTCCACGATATGGTCCGCTTTGATAGCTTGGTAACGAGCCTCTTCGCGCGACTCATGACATATGTTTACCACAGTCGGCGCAGGGCTAGGTGAGTACCGTGGGCAAAACTGCGTTTCGTCATGACTTTCTGCGTGTGGCTTCGTTTCCAGCGCAACCAGGCGAGGGGGCTCGTTGTGGTATGCAAGCGACCAAATCTGCAGGCGAAGTTCCTTGGGCAGCAATGATATGGACATGGCCGTCGGGTAGGAAGGTGGGTTTGAGATAGGAGGAAAGGACACGCTCGGACCTTCCCCATGCAGAGGATCACGTGCCGCCGTGATCCGGGCAACGTTGGGTTGGCATTCCGCCATTACGAGTCCTACCCACTTAGCTCCACTTGGCACGGATGCCTAACTTTATACCGATAACTATCCCATGTTCGGCAACACATCACACATAACGCGTGGTCAGCTCCGATGCTCATACCTCCGAGTTCCAAAATTCTGTGTCTCGAAGCTTCGCTGGGTGACCCATTCCAAAGTCCAGATCATCCGCGGGGAGCCATGGATATTGCAATCAGATCGTCAATGGCATGTTTGTTGTGATTGACATCGGACTTTTCGCGTGCATCGCGCAAAATGCCATCCATGGAGCCATCCAAATCATCGATTCGCATGGTGGTAAGCGTAGTAAGCCCAGGTGGCACAGCACGATAGCGAGTCATTGCCGAAGGCGAACAGCTTCTGCTGACATCGCATTAGTCCATTGGAAGTAAAGAGCGTCGTGGACAGCCTGGTGACCAAGGTGTTCGAAGGTCGGTGAAGGACTCCTGGAGCTTGGAGCAACCCGCCAACCCTTATTGTTAAGATCGTGAGCACGGTGCGCGTGTTGTGATACCGCCGAAGCTGGTAAATTGATGAGGCTCTGGGTGGGTTCGATGCGGGTATCCCACCGGAGCCCCCTGGAGTCCCACTGGAGAAAACACGACGGCGTCGTCTTATGTGGATCTGTTGGACTCGCGACCCGCTGTATGTGAAGTCACACTGACACCCGCGCGGATGCTTTGCCGGGCGCAGAGTCTAGTTTTGCTAGCATTGGCCTGATCGACGATGCTGAGACCGATCAACGGCTTGCCTCTCGAGCTCGGAAGAGGCTGAAAGATTTGAGGCTCCATGTGACGAGGCTGGGCGACTTTGCTGTCATGTTGTTGGTCGTGGAGCGCTTCCCCTCCCCCGCTTTAAAGGCAAAACCACCCCTCTTCGAGCGTCATACCGCAGACACCGCATAGGAAAGGCACGCGCCCGGGTTCCGCTGCCGATTAAACACCGAAACCTTCGTTCTCCTACCATGCTCTCCTGGCGATTCTCTCTCTACCACCTCAATTTCAACTCATAAGCTTATACTCCCAAAATTCGGTGTTCTTTGTCGCGAAACCTCCTTCGCACCGCACCTTCGGAACAACGTCATCGGCAATTGCGCTTTGCTGCGGCACCGCACACTCACACGCAACCCAGCGCAATCCAGACATCCTTCAGCGCGGACACCGCAGAGAAGCGAATCGGTTTTTAGACCTGATTGGCTTGATTAGAAATTTTTCCGTACCTTCGCAATACCCAGTACCCTTCTTGGTGCCGAATTTCGGGAAGCAACACGTCGCGACCAACAGCTGCACCCGTCGCACCTATTCCACAGCCCCGACCGCGGACGGAAGACATCTTCCGTATAAGTACAACGGGTCGCATACACATTTGAAACCATCCAGCGCAACTTTCAGCATGGCGACACAAGACATTTCCGCCCACAACACTGAGCCACAGCCAGTCCCCAAGGGAGA